AAGGTACATATCTGCATTAATAAATAAGCTAGTCACATTATGCACATCAACAGATCGGGCAAACTTACGGTCTCCCTCGAACAATGCTTCGACCCCGTACAGGCCCATAAGAGTTGACTCAAGCGACGTAAGTCATTAAGCACATTGTCAAGGCCAGACACAATACATTGAATAATCGACTACAATTATATTTAATAAGTCCTTCAAGAGCACGAAGACTCATTATTAATTACTCCTGTGGGTGAGTAGTCCCTTATTTCCCCCCATAAACAATTAAAAGATAATTGATTACTCAACAAGGTCCATTAAACATCTTACACCACAACAAGTATAGTTATCCATACATCAAATATATTTAATTAAAAAGCAACTTCTCATACTACCTCATGAGCAGGAACGATCTCACTACACCAGCTAATACTTACAATCTCAGCACACTTCATGGAAGCACTCAAATTACAATTCATACACTCAGTGGAGGAAGATCAGCGGTAAAATCATACATTCTTCGATACCACTTGAGCGAAACAAGGAGAAACACTCGCTAGTCAATCATGTGACAATTGCCCTCCTCAAGAGTAACGCCATCGCGACTGACAAGGAGCTCATTCGGCCTCCCAACGCTGTATGGATCAATTTCAGTTCGACGAAGGCCAAGCTCATTCGTCACAACACGCTGCCAGATCCATCAGCAAATGACTTTAACGCGTCAATAATGTCAAGGTGGCAATTCATCCAACAACGAGTCCAACAATTCTGAAAGCAATGGAGAAAACATTACCTACATCAATTCCTTTCAACCTCCAAGTGGCATCACTCAAGCAACACGATGAAAGTCGGATCTCCAGTTATCATCACAGATCAACGACAACCACAATGCAAGTGGCCACTCGCAAGAGTCATGAAACTGCACCCAGGAAAGGATGGATTAACTAGAGTAGTGACACTAAAACCCACCTCCTCGATAATCTCAAAACCAATTCACATGCTTGCACCACTGCCAGTTCCCATCGAAGATACTGATATCAATCATCAATAAATTGATGATGGCGGGCAGAATGTTACGGATTGCAACAGTTTTTAAGCGGAATAAAAAGTGGGAGAGGTATGAGCGCGCGAGCATTTGTTTTGTAAAAAATGACTAACGGACTCAAAGAATGCTTATAACAGAAAAACTCGAATATACTACTATAATTCCAAAAGTAATAACAAATGAACTCTACGAGTCTATGCCCTGTTGACGTCACGACAAATATTGACATAGCAATGGCCACCGATGCACTTTCGGCGCAGCTTGTTTATACGAAAATATTTAAGGAGCTGCACAAGACGCTTTCGAGCTCTTACTAGTTCAATCAAGCAATCATCAAGATCAAATTATTGTCCTACAAGTCAACGCCATTTACACAGAGATCGCCTTCAATTCACACAAATCGCCATCCTACAAGTCAAACACCACTTACATAGAGGTCACATCCAATACACAACGATCTATCTCCACATACGTAAGCTACGCTATTACACACGTCCTTACGTACCATCAATACAACTGAGATCGACTCCACACACGTAAGCTACGCTATTACACACGTTCTTACGAATCACTAACACACGGCTCCGTGAACTAAGTAAGCAGCAATACCCAAACCACGGCATCATTGCCATTCATCAGTGACGTCACACACTAGCGCCCCACTCAGGCCTCTCCAGCTTATCGGTAGCGGCAACGGCGGCATCAATTCTCCTGACCAGTGATGTCATACACCAACGCCACCACCAGGCTTCTCCAGCGTATCGGTAGCGGCAATCGGTGGCGTCAACACTCACCTATCACACCGTGACACTCTTCATGGCATCATCATTCTTTATCAGCACATCTCCCACTACCACTACGAGTTCTAATCACAAGTAGAAGAGTCACGCACCACACTCAAGAATACACTTATAAGATTATCATCACTCATATCACCTGAAGAAACTCTCGCCCATTCGTTGTACCATTCTTTCATTCTCACCTCAATAGACCACTAATTATTTATTATATCATTATTATTCAATGAGGGGAAAACCAACTCATACAAAGGCAGTATTGAATTACTGCATTGTCCATTCCACTTGCCAGCAAGCCTCCCTTCACCATCTCAGGGAAGCGTTATTTAGTCTGATCTCAGACACAACTGATTGAACGAGATAATACAATATTATTACCTATTCATCTTAGTCTATTACATTTATTGGGTGAAGGAAATATTCTTTATATAGAAACATAAGTAAAAATCAGTTCAAATGTGGTATAAATGGAAACCAAGCATTTAAATCTGTATTTAAGAAATATGGAACTGAGGAAATAAAGAAAGCATGATTCTATGGCAACAAAATGTACTGAAAATATTAAGAATCAGGTTATAATATTTGATTGTTTAAGTTGCTATTTCTCTAAAGATAAATAATTAAGTATATAGTTATTCCTTTTGAAATTGTAAAAATGACAAATTTCCGTAAAATAATTAAAAGATTCTATTTGGATTCTTAAATTACTGGCTAACGTTGTTAATACGTAATTCTATTATATTCAATCGATTGTAAAATATTGTCAAAATTGTACAGAGCTATTATGGTGATTGTTAGCAATAAACCATATTCAATAAACATCTTACTGTTGTACAATGATAAACATTCAGAATTTGTAAATTATTATTAGAGATCAATTAAGCATATTTTGCACAAATATATTACAAAAATCAAACTGGTAGTCTAAACAAAGCTACTTCAATAATCTATTGTAACCTTTATGTCATGATACAGTTTATTAATTGAATATCATAAAAGAGTTTTAAATAATGAAAATGACCTGCATGAAAATGAATGCAGAACAAAGCTCAATAATATCAGTATTAGATGAATGTTTTCTACTTAATCTGAAATAAATCCAATAACTCTGAAAATCTTATTAAATTTTATCCAAATTTCATTATTAGGTACAGCATTTCCAACTAGCTAAACAGATATTTCAAATTGGCATTAGGAGCGCAGGCATTAGCAAAAGGACGGAATTAAGTTTTGCCTTTTTATATGTGTTCAGGATTGGAGCACTTCAAGACATTTGGCTCTCAGAAACTTATAATCCTTCTAGCTCTCGAATTTTTGTAAAAATTTTATTCCGAGAATTCTCGAACATTCGAAAGCCTTACTCTTGAACGTCCTGCAATATTTTCCGCGTAGCAACACCTGTCCATTGTTATCAGCTATTTAACTGTCGCGTAGATATATAAAGCAAGCACGCGACGAGTCTTAGTGAAGATTCCATGGCACGAAACAGAGTCTGTCTTAGCAGGACCGCCATGGAACAGTCGCTGCTATTACCGAACCACCACGGAGAGAACACGCTCTCACACTGTGTAAGTATTGAAGTTGCTCACCGACCAGAAAAGGAGTTGGAAGAAGAAATCAACAACGCTGAAGCATTCAAGTGAGCTAGTAGCAACCTCCAAGACTAAGAGTCAAAGAATCCTCAAGCATCATGCGAGGGCATTCTCTCAGTCACCTCTGTTCTGTATCAAAATCAGTGACATTGCTCTCACTAGTAATAAGTTTCATAACACTCGCTAATAATAGGTACCATATTGAGGTACCGACCCATTTTTGACCCGTCCACACTACATAACATCAAAAGGAGACTCGCAACAAGACACCAATACGTAGCACGATACTAAGTGGTGTCCAAAGATTTACGACCTCTCACTACTCAGTATAGGAACCAACCACCAAGCACACTACATCAAGAGGATCTGGAGATTTACGATCTCCTATCTCGACATGTAGTGTATGCTACCACCACGTGGAAACCACCCAGGAACGGCAAGATTTCAATGATTCTCATCATCAATGTAGAATCATAATTGTGTATTTGTAAAATAAAACGTAATAAACAGCACGAAAATCAAACCTGTTGAATACTGAATTGAAGCATTACCCCTTCCACTTAACCACACTTTTTTCACTAGTAAACTGGTTTTTATCATAAAATCAAATAAATTTAAGAAAAATATTACTGATATATTTTTAAAAGAATATAAAATTTTTCATATAACGATATCTTTTGATTATGTAAGAAATAATTCAATGCTGCATATGAACTGAAGATGTAAATAATAATTTATATCCATTTTGATTATACATTTTCATTAACTAATTAAGTCAAACTGCCCATTGAATGTAATATAAATAATTTTGAACAATTATACTTAAACATCTCAATATTTAAAAAAATATAATTAAGATCTTCAAATGCGTTGAATTATAGCGAAAGCATTTGCAACAAATGCACGATAATCTAGCGACTTGCGGATATTTTAATTGTAAATAGAATTTAAATTTGCACAAATTAATGGATTTTATACATACTGTAAAAATGAAAACCTATATGTGAACTATTTTATGCAAATAATAGTTCTATTTACAATTTGTATTCATTGATTATTTTATAAAATATAAATATTTTGATTAAGCATTTTTATCATAAACAATTGTATTCAATTTCATCAATGGTTTTATATTTTAAACGACATATTACATTCTTATTCATGATAAATAAAATAATTAAATTAATCAATATATGTTTTTTAAGAATTTTTTAAGAATTTTTTAAGAAATTTCTTTTTTATTATATTGGTAGATGATTTAAAGATTCGCGATGAAATAATACAAAAGACAAAAAATGAATTGAAGTATCATTTGCAATCATTGGCAATCCTTCTTAATACCTCCAATCGATTGATCGAACCACATGAACATGCAATTCAGAATAGAATAAGTGAAATTTTAACTGAAAATAAAGATCATATTTTGGTACGTTACTTTGAAATAATCTTTAATTATGTAGGTAGCAATAACTGTTAAACTAATTATTTGTTTATTTCTAGAAAATACAAAATTTGAAAAAAATCATAAATTGCTCGGAGATTACAGCTAATCACCAATCAGAACTGATTGATTCAGCAATGATAAAAATTCAAAATCTTGAAGATGAACGCTCCAATATAGAGAATAAATTATATAAATTTAAAATGGAGTTGGAAACTTGTAAATTATCTAAGGAAACATTGTATCGAGATAAACATAAAGTAATTAATAAAAATTTGTTTAAATAAAGATTTCTAATTCATGAGTGTTATATGATTTTTACATATTTTACAATACTTTGAACACTATTAAAAACTAAAATATTTAAAATTCATTTAATTATAAAGAAACAGAATTATTTTTCAAATCATATAATAGATATAAAACATAGTAAAATGAATATTTATCTATCAGTTATATTTGATATTCGTAAAAAGTTTCCTTTTTTTGGATGAGAATTAAAAAATCCATTGTTTAATTTAGATTTTATATAATTCATTAAAAATTATATACTAAAAGTAATTTAAAAAAATATAAGTAATTTTTTAAGCCATATAAATAAAAACAATAACCAAAATAATACAAAAAATCATTTATTTTTAAATTGAAAATAAAATGAGAGTAATATATTTATAAAGATATTTCGTTGCAGTTAATTATGTTTTTGAAGCAATTAGGAAAAGCTATGCAAAAGGATAAAATTACAGAGGAAATTGGGATTAATCTTTACATGGAGTCGCTTTTAACGCGAGCAAAACAATTAAAAAGGATGGAGGTCAATAATAATATTGTTAAGGTAGTAAGTATTGTAGTAAATATTGTAAAATAGAAAGTATTTAATAATATTTTTTTATACAAATTTCTTACGTACACACATTCTCTATATGAAAGCCCCTTTTTTCGCTATATAATTTTGCCTTGAATAAAGCATTACATGTCATTTTTCCTGTTCTAATAAATAATTTACTTTATCAGCTTGAATTTATTTTTATTTTCATTTCTGTAACTTATTTTTTACTTTATCAAATTGTAGGTATTTTCAACATATGATCTGTTTACATTTGAAACTTAGTATATCCTTATTACATACATTTTTAGATATCGCATTAATTTTATTTTCTTTACAATAAAGAGGTACCATAGTCTATTACATAAATTAATAATAAAACAACCACTTTTATGTGAAAATATTTGTGATTTATGAAATAAAAAGTAATTATATATAAATCAAGAAACTGAAAAAAGTATTGAACTTGAATTTCTATAAATAATTTATTAACGTAGTTTAACGTAACACATTACTTTATTTAAAGATAAATTTTTTGTTTATGTATACATCTATATATATTTAAAAATGTGTAGGTAATTGTAAAGATACATAATAATTCCATTAGAAATAATATGTCAGACAATAAATGAAAAATATTATTGAATCTAGACATCAGTCAGTTATCATCTACAACGTCGTATTAGGTTACTTCAAGAACAGCTTCAAAGAAGAGAACTACACTTAGACCTGCTAAGAAGAAAGCTTAGTCGTCAAGAAGATAATTTATGTATTAAATCTCTATTACAAACTCAGTTAGATAAATCTAATTTCAGGTGAAATAATTATTTTAACTTGTGTTTATTCATTCATAAAAATGTATGTAATGAAATTTTTTATTTTTTATGTGACTTTAGAGTAAAAAATATGATAAAACAACATAAAGAAATTAAAATGCAACTTAATAAGGAAAGGGAGCTCTGTAAAAAACTCAGTACACAGTTACTAGAAACAGCAGATCATAAGGTATACTACGCATCCAATTTGAACATTTTGAAATCTATTGTAAGCAGAACTATTTATTTATCAGAAAAATAATTTGAATATTAATGTACTAACGCGAGTACTTTACACGGAAGTTTATATAGTATTTAAATAAAAATTAAATATTTCTATAACTCCAGTTACTTGATTTTATAAATGACTTATTTAACGAGTTTTTAAAAATGTAAATGTTAACTATTGCATTTGCTATTCTATTTATAAATGAGATTTGTAATTTAATTATTATATCTTTATACTTAATTCATACTGATAAAATTTAAAAATTCTAAAATATTACTTTCTATAATATATAATATTTTCATAATAATTATTTTTATGAAGTGACCTATTTTCATTATAATTAAAATTTTTAACGTTGTAGCTTTTTAATGCGCGTTATTATTTGAATTCATAAAAGTATTAATAAAAAGATAGAATTTTTTTCGACATAGCTTTCAGTACAATCTTAAGAGATTTTACAATTTTATATAATGTTTTAAAATACACGATATGAAATATTTTCTTAATAAAAATAAGAATTTACAAATTGTAAAATACATATTTACAAAATATATATGAAATCATAAATATCTAAAATGATGATTTATCATTTTGATGTTTGTCACAAACCTTATTAAAAAGAATTGTTATTTAACTATTTATCAATACTTATATTTAGGAGTGATAGTTTTAAATTATGAATTTATAATAAAATTAAGAAATTTTATAAATTCTATTTATTTCTACTATAATTATAGATAGCTGCATTAGAAAAAAGTCGCAAAATAGAAGATTTAGAGAATCTATTAATAAGGAGTGATATACTAAAAAAGCAATATATTCAAAAATATACTATGATCAAGGAACAAATTCGAAAAACAAATGAAAATGTTAAACAAAAATGTTCTATTAACGATCAATCTCTACAGTTTCTACGTGATAAACTTCATGAAGTTAAGCAAAATTTAGTTGAAGTCACTTATAAACAATCTGAAGTAAGTAAATAAAAATAAATATTTTTAGAAACAATTTAATTTTAAAAAGCATTAAATAAATACATATTATAAATAAATAGCATAATTTAATGATTATTAAAAAAACATGAACAACAAACATGACATGAATATTGAAAATTAATTATGAAGAAGTAAGTTCCATGCTCATGGTATTTTGTCCAAACTTGTCGAAATATGGTAGTCCATTGAAATTGTACAACTGAATAATCTTTTAGTAAAAAAGTATTTATTTCTCATTTCTTAATTAATTGTTGTTTATAACGCAAGAAAGAAAATTCAATTTGAAATGTAAATTCTTTTCGGGTATTTTAACAGTTAAATTTTTGTTTTATATTTTATATTTTATACGTCTACTAAATAATTCATTTTAACATATTAAATATTGTATTTAAAGTTATATAATTTGTTCTGTATATTTGTTACTTGTATTATATGAAAACGGAGCAAACAGTTTTTTAATTGGTTTGTTTATTTTTAGTTTTAATAAATTTATTTCATAATAAAGTCTAAAAATAAAGAAAAATATAATATAAAAGTAGAAGATAATAAATACTATGAAATTGAAGATATTATAGAAGGTTTTTACAACAGAACCATCCATTTTTATCTCTTGGGATCATTAAATATTTTAATATATCATTACATATATATCTAACAATATGGTATGTAATAGAGTAAATTAAACTATTAAATTTACAAAATTTTCAAATCTCACTATTTCATTTGATGTGTTAACTGTAAAGTTCATCTAACTATCACTAAATGTTACTGTGATTATGCATTTTTTTTACCAACATTTAGTGTAAGTTAAGATAATAATGATCAATATATATTACCCAAAATTCACAGAATAAAAATTAATGCATTTAACAACTTTAAGCACATAAATATAAATTGAAAGAATTTTTAAAATAATTTATAGTATTTTCTAGTTTCTTAACTTATAGTTATAATGTAAAAATAACAGTTAAAAGTATACCATTGTATTTAAAAATTCTCTTTTTAACAAAATCAATACTTCTATAATTTGTTTTTTTGCAAACAATTGCGAGTGCTTTATGAGACAATTTCGAATTTTTCAAATGCATAGTTAGTTAATTATATAGTAATTATTTTAAAATGTAGAATATCGTTATAGTTAGCTAAACAAAAAATTTAATAATATATTTCTATAAGAATAGTGTACTAGCTTAAATATTATAGAATAAATATTAAAATAGATATCAATTTTTATATATCTCAAATTATGTAATACACACGCTATGCTTATATAAAAGTTATTGTAGTAATGTAATGTTTTTTATATTTATAATAAATAAAATTTATATATTTGATGTGTTTTCTTATATCATAGTCAAGTTCCGAGAGTTCAATATGCATATTTATAATAATTGTAAAAAATGTATATAATTCCAACCAAAATAATATATATTGTTCAAGTTGCAGAATTTTCGCGTTTCTGTAGCTAAGTTATTATCCATACCAATTTGCAGATCAGATTATGAAATCATTTCTCATCTAAAAAAAATAGTAGCCACATATGGAGAATTTATTATATTGTCTGAAAGAAATGAGGAATAATTCAAATCAAATCCGTCAAGACTCATAAGGTATATTTAATTATAAATTTATTTCTAGAATTAAATTTTAATTTTATAATTTCAGTTTTGTAATTGTTTATTATAAATTAATTATACATTTTTGTGTCATTTGAAAGACTATTGCATAGTAACTTAGAAAACTGATCTTTTATTTTTTAATTTAAATAAAACCTCAACAAGATTTTAGTAACTATTTGATGAAGTCTTTAATTTTAATCAATGGATCTTTTTCTATAATAAAAGTTATAGCTTCAATTTTCATTAAAATAAAATATTTTTTAACATGTGTTAATTATCGTCATAGTTTACAAACTTTTATATTACATATTTTTTAGGATTTAATGAAACTTAACTTTATTATTAGTTTTATTTTATGTATTTATAAAAATACTTAATTTAATTAATATGTAAACAAGAATGTGCGTTTTGAAAAATAAAATAAGGTTTTCAACATAGTCCATGCTAATATCCTATAAATTATGATAAAAATCATAAATATATTATGATATTTATTGTTTTACAGTTACACACATCGATTAAGAATATATTGTAAAAATGATACAACAAATATTGAGGAAAAAATTATAATAATAAAATAACAATCATTTAATAATTTATTGCGGGATACGAAGTAGTTTACAAATTAAGCACTTTTTTAAGATATATTTTAAAAAGAAATCCATAAACATACCTAATTGAAAATTCATGGAATAGATATTAGAACAAAAAAATTAATTTTTAATAAAACATTAGTAAGACATTTAATGTATTAGGGTGAATGAGAAGCTCTACTTTGTTTTAATATTGTTGAGCCTCTAATGAAATCGATATACAAAATAATACAAAAAGGAAAAAGAACAAAAAATATCCAAAATGAATTAATTATGCGTAATACGAAGTGAATTGAAAAAAAACTGATTTACTAAAATAACTGGAAAGTCAATGGTTAAAAAACATACATAGATAAATATAGTTGCAAACAACCTCTTTACATAGATCGAATTAAATTATCAAAATAAGAATTTTAAACAATTATTAACATTATTTCTTTTCATTATTTCGAATTTTGTTATAATATACAATTAAAGTTAAATATTAAAACTTTTTATACGACATTATCTTTTATTAAGACCTATCTTACCTTACGATAAGTAGTTTAGTCTATTGAAAATTATAATAAAAACAATAACTTATTACAATTTAAAAACGAGTGGCATGCTAAAAATTGCGCAAAACATAAATGTTTTTGATTATTTAAAATATTAATAACTAATAAAAATTTTTAAGTAAGTGCAGAATCGCATGTAGGACAATCTGTTCATGTTATAATATTTATGGCATAATTTTTAAACCAATTTTAATTGAATTAATTTTTACTTGAATTCAAACAAATTTTCTTTTAAATGTTAATTTATATAATTATGTTAATTAATAAGTATGAAATAAATAATGCATTAAAAACCAAAGTTAATGGATAGGCATTCAGTAACATTACTGAATATTAACTTTCTAATTGTTTAAAGACTAATATTTTGTATTACTTTAAAAGAATATATTGATGTTATAATTAAGATATTTTGTATTTAGATATTATAAATATTCAAAAAATTCATAATGAAATTGCGTTATCATAAATTGTTAATAAAAAATATTGTTAGTATGTAATAAAAAAAAAAAAATTATTGCTATGCATTTTTTTCAGATAATTGAATTTATGTCATATAATATTATATTGACTAAGAATGTAGTCAGCTGGTACATATTACAGGTAAATGACTTGTACACTTACATCTGCAATTACGGTGCCACATTCGATCGACGGTTACTTTTGTAACTTGATAGAATTAGTTAGTACTATTGATTGAGGTTATAGACGTAATCTCTTATATAATATTATAAATATTTCAAATATTTGTTTCTTATAAGAAGTTAATATTGTCTGAAAAAGGAATGTTTAGTTTCTTTGGAATTTTTATTTTCCTTAAATTTATGATACAGTAAGCAATAAATAAACTGAATATTTATGACAAGTTTTAGATAAATTTTTTACGCATGACCAAATACTAACAAATAATAATGTATACTTTATAAAATCAATTATAAATAATTGATATAAAATAAATAAAATTTACAACTAAAAACGCCTTAGATTTATTTTAATAATATTATAATATATAATAATAATATAATAATATAAAAGTTATAAAAACATTACTTTAAACATTTAAAATATATCCCAATTGCATTTTATATATATGCATACAGGTATATTAATGTCTATTGTAAGTTACTTCTAATTTATTTCATAATGTTGAAAATGATACCTATTATTAGCTACAAAATTATGTATTACAAAAGAGACAATTTGTTGTGTATTTGTAAATTATTAATTTATAGAAAAGATATAAAAACTTTCATTGTAGAGAATCATCGTTAATAAAAACGGACTATGATATGTTAATATTCACTCAGGCATGGTCACCTACTTCGTGTTATGAGTGGGAAAAAAAGTCACCATCGCATCAATGCAATCTACCACCTTATGAAGAGTGGTATATTCATGGATTATGGCCTACAAAAAATGGTACATTAGGTCCATTTTTTTGTAACCGTTCACTACCTTTTGATTTTAATGCTTTACATTCAATAAGAGAACAGCTTGAATTAAAATGGATAAATATATACAAAGATGATAAGCCCTATAGATTGTGGCAACATGAATGGGAAAAACATGGTACTTGTTCAGTTGACTTAAAAAGTTTAAATACAGAAAAAAAATATTTCAAAAAAGGACTTGAATTACTTAATAAATATGATATGAAATATATTTTTAACAATGTTAATATACTACCAAATCAAAAATATTTCTTACAAGAGTATCTTGATAGTATTCATAAAATATTGGGTAAAAATGCTTATCTTGAATGCATAACAAATAAGGTAGGTCATAATAGTACTTATTAAAACAATTATAATAACTAAATATTCATTTTATTTTTAATTTACAGAAGAGAAATCAAATTTACCTTTCTGAAATACGAATTTGTTTTAATAAACTGTTCGAACTTGTAGATTGCAATGGTATCATTCAATTTCCAAGTAATTGTAATAAAAATGATGAAATTATTTATCCTGATAGGGTTCCAAATTTAATGACTGAACCATTAGTAGTCCAATTATAAAATGTAAGGAAACTCCAATACTTATTCACTATAAATTTATTTGTATAAATATAAGAATGTATGAGGTCTGCAATTTCTGTATATATGTACTTTTTCATACATAAAGTTATATCAAAGAAACAAGTATAGTGAATAATAGAATTTATCTATATTCAAGTTAAATTATAATAATTATATCCATTCATAATTATTAAATATACTTCATATATACTTAATATATGAAATTAAGTTATCTTATTTATAGAAACTTTAAATATTTTAAATTTACAAGTACATAATTAATATATAAATTTATGTATGACATTTTTAAACGTTGTATCTTGTCAATCATTCTTACTTTTATTTCGTCGAATAATGATAATACTAAAGATAATTTAGTATATATTAGCAGAAAATTAAAAATCACAATAAAAAAATTTATAAAATAAAATAAGTCGTGAATTATTTAATATAATCGTCTTAAAAAAATAATTTGTATTATTGTATGTTTATTTTTTAATCATATATCTTAACTATAAGATAAAATCATTAAAATTAATGACTTTAAATTTTGTAGAATAAATAAAATCAAATTTTAATCTTAAAATTTTGTTACAATGATTATCATATTTAAAATTTATCAACAAATTCAAATAATTTCTTATGTAAGATTATAATTAATAGAATAATTTTTATATTCCATGTAACTTTTATTAAATTATTCTAATTGGTATTAAATTAAAAATGAATGTTTGTTAATTTTAAATAAAGAATACAAATACTAATTTTAATTTAATTAAGTATTTTTTTTAAATATGTACCATTTACAGTTTTAATAAATAATTTACATGGAAATATTTTTAAAATTGTGACAATCTGTAAGTTATTAATAAATAAAAAAGTTTTTGTTAATTTTTTTTTTAATTTTATACTGTATTTATTATAAATTCACTAAATTAAATTAATTATTAAATTAATGGTCAAATTGTGATAGTCTAAAATATTATCAATAAAAAATATAATAAAAATAATAAATATTTAGTATTTAATAAAATAATTAGAAAAAAATAGCCAAAAATCCACTCAAAAAGAAAATATATATATAGATATAGATACATTTTTCATCATATATCATAACATTTTAGGGTATTTTGAATCATGATGTTAAACTAATTTATCTGTATTTAATTGAAAAATAATTTACGTTTATTTTTTTTTAAATCCTATATTTGAACTATTATAAAATTAAAATTAAATTATTGTTTTTAATAGTAGTTATAAAATAAAACTTCGATAATAATATTTATTCAAATTAGTGATATTTTGGATTTATTCTTTATAGTTCTCGTGTAGTATTCACCATACATTCTCATTTATTGAAATATGATAATAATTATAAATAAAACATTTTAAAATAAGTTCTATAGATGAAATAATGTATGGATTGGGTTAAATACGCAGAAAATTTTGTAACCAAAGTTTAAAAAAATAGACGCGAATATTCAATGTTGTATGATCAGTACGAAGTCAATGCACGTACGAGTAATTGCGTATGAAGTCAAGATATATTAGAGAAAAAAGGAGCATGTTTCTGGGAATGAAAGGAGACTTACGAGTGCTTGCATCTCTCGGGGACTTGGCCGCGTTTGTATTTCGCAAGAAAACGGAAAGCGAGAAAGGCAAGACCCGCCTTTATCTCATACTGTGGCCAAGGTATTGAATTAGTTTTTATCTGATTTCTAGTTGAATCAACGGTAGAATGAGGTTTATGTTTTTTGTATATATTCAAGTTGATTATAATCGACGTGAAAAGAAACAATCGTTAATGAGATGATAATGTTTTGCACTTAATATTTTTGTTTAAGGGTTAAACTTGTAATGATTAAAGATATGTAAATACTTATGAACGATAATTTAAATATTAATTAAAAGACAGAATTAAATGCAACTTTAGGTAAGTGATATTCATTTATAATTACAATAAGAAAATAGTGAGCATAATTAAATAGAAATTGATAAAAGATAATAAATTAACTTACTAAGATTTACTAAACAATGTAAATTGGTTGAAAATATTAAAAACAGTAAATGACAAATATATATTCAATATGAGATAGATTACAAGCTATAGTTCAAAATTTTTAGATCATAATATTTTATGATAAATAATAAATAAAAATAAAAATTAGAAACAAATTATATAGTGGTAATAATATAATTTAGCAATAGCATTATATTTTATCTACGGTCCTTTTAGACTAAATTATTGTTTATCGTAAAATATACATGGTACTCGATTAAATTCAGTATTTGTATGAGATTTTCTATTTTCTTTACGACGTAGAATAAAAAAGGTGGAAACTTATCAATTTTATTTTTTATTCCTTACTATTTGTGAAGCTTTGAAATACAGAAAATTTATAGATAAATAATTAGATATTTGTACTACATAAGATTTTAAATGAAAATGTAATTTTATTTAATACGTTTATTTACAATTTTATAATTTAATTAGAGAATTAAAGGTTGTCGAAATATATAAGTGGATTTATAAATGTAGATAAAAAAACTCGCAATAAGAGAATAATTTTCTCAATACTGATCCACCTATGCAGAAGAAAAGTAATAATGTATGAGTTTGAAAGAAAATTTTTATTTTTACTTAATTTTTATCTCCTTTGTCATTCGTGAATGGACCCAAATGCATAGATCAAATTACTTTATAGACCTTTTTACCACTTCCAAATATTGACTAAATAGTGAAAACTTTCTATATGTAAATAATTTATCTTACATTTAATAATTAATTTAATAAACATAAATAGTTATAAACAGTAAAGGATTCAATGAAAAAAATATAAATTACAAATACTTAATTTCTTAATAATCTAATAAGAAATACTTATTTTACTTTACTATTATTCAATAAACTTATTAGACGTAATTGAATGTTATACAAATTTTAATAAAAATTATTAAAAAATTAACAAGCTAAAAGATGAAAAAGATTTAAAAATTTTTAAAGAAATTTTAAAATGAAGTATTGAATACACAAAGTACGAATATAAGGAATATGACAACTTGATGTAAGTCTATAAGTTTATATACAATATGTATACAATTACAAATTTGTTAACTTCTAAAAACCTTCAAAATAATTCTATTTCTTATCATTTTACCGTGGTTTTTAAATAATTAGGATATTAGAGTAAAATAAAGTATTTAAATATTAATTTTGAAATTATTAAAATATGAACAAATTCAATTTATCAGATTTTTTATTGTTCATTTTCAAATTTATTTCTAAGATTAAATTGTTAAAAATAATAATAAATAAATAAATAGCCCTAAAAATATAGTTATTGTAGTATGCCTTTATTACTCTAAAATATGTATAAAATAATTTTTTCGTACTTAATTAAAATATTTAAAATTACGGATATGTATTATTATGCTATCGAAGGAAAATGCACAAGAAAATAGTATAATAATACACAATCGTTAAGATTGACAAACAAAATATGGTTAAGGTCATTTCTCGAACGCACTACAATAGAAAACTTTCACATAAAGACAAGTAATAATTTTTTATTTATAATTCTGTTATCAATTTTAATTAATTATATTTGATAATTTAAAAATTATTTAAAATCTTTTATCTTAAAATTTATATTTCTTACATTTTCCTTAAAGGAAATTTTCTTTCATTATTATACAAACATATTTTAAAAAGTTATATATATATTATTTTTATTTAATCCTATTTTTAAGCCTGATACAAATATTTTAAAGTACTCTTTATATCGAAGAGGTTTCAACAAATGCATAAATTTATTCGTAACATCTAAATATTTATTTCATAAAAAGTAAAGAATAATAAAGAAATTTTTAATTATTTCGCCATATTAACCTTTCATATATTTTAGAAATTTTACACAGATATTCAACCCACAGGGTCCATAATAATATATACAATATTTGATAATAAAATATAATAATATTTATACTATATTCATATTAGAATTATTTTATAACCACTGATTGTACCATAAACGTTTCGATATAAAGAGTACTGTAAGATATAAGAAATTTTTCAGAATTAGTATTGTTCCTATAAAATATATTTGCATCTTCTGCATTAATTTTGTAATTTGCATTAAGTAGATGAAGTAATTAATGTTAAAATATAATTTTTCAATTTTTGTATTATTTAATAAAAATTCTACAGATAATAGTAAATTTGTAGATCATATACTTAATCAAATTATAAAATCTTACAATTACTGTTTTATTAAATTTGCATGATAAACTTTTTATTTCTTAATATAAGAAAATTATACTAAGAATACATATAATAGAATTTTATTGAAACTGATTCAAATGATTATTATCTACTAAATTTATATTATGACTTTATAATTCTATTACATTCAATTATATACATTATATATATACAATTGTACATTTTTTGTTATAATCAATATAATAATAAAAATATATGAAAAATATGTTGTAATTAAATGTGCGACTTTGAAGTTAAACCATCTAGGTAAAAGAGGAAATAATAGAACATTTTATAATAGTTATATGAGCAATGGATAGTTGCATAATTAGATTAGTGAAAAACTTACATAAAAACGAGTGAAATTATTTATTATATAATGTATGTATAGAAAAAACAGGTATGAAAAAGAAGGATAAAGAGAAAAGTGATACTGATGTACAAACAGGATGTCTGGTTAAACGAAAGTATTACATGCAGCTCTCCTTTTATTATATATATTAATTTATTTAGTCATTCATTTGTAAATATTTATATGTCCTGGTTTAATGTATATTAAATATTTACATATGTTTAAAAGATAGTTTTACGCATGAATGACTATTTCTTAATTCTTCGTAGGGAACAGCATATTATACAGATCCATTTAAAGCTAATTTATTTCATGTACTATTTATTTCTTAATTACGTATACTGCTTTTATTGTACGTATATTTTTTAGGCATTTTTTGGATTTACATACAATAAATTAACAAAATTAAAGGAAAATTATTTATAATACTAACTTTTAATGAATATGTCTGTACTTCAAGTAACATGTTTATGGATATTCTCGAAAAATAAAGCAATCATCAATTCTATCATTATTACTTTCAATTTATACGAAGTATCCGTAGTTTTGTTTAATAAATTCCTTAATTTTTTCAATCTTTTAAACGAATTTTCTATTATCTCCTTGTGGTCTCGCCTTCTTAGTTTATAGCATCATTGTTCTTGCTAACTGCGTGCATAATACGGTACTGATAACACGAATTGTTTTCAAATAGTATTGGAATAAAGGATTTATTTCTTTTTCTTTTTGAAATATATGGCAGTTTTTTTATCTAGGTTTTGTATTTTTTTTACAAAATCTTATTACTTTATAATTGCATAGTTTACCCATTTTAATTACTAATGTTAAGCATGCTTTACATCGTACCTTAGATCTCTATCTTATCTACAGAATTTACTCACTTTTACAAAGTACAGTAGCATTTCAATCACCGTAATATTTTTGTTATAAACAAAGAAGCATATTGTTATAAATGAAGAATTAAAATTGTAAATCATATATGCATTGTAAATAATTCATGTATTTCGACATTTTTATATTTTAACAATTTATTTATAATTTTTTATATATCACTTAAACAATTTTTCTTTAATTTTTTGCTGCCAATTTTATATTATTATTTTTTTTTATACATTAATAAATAATATATTTATGAATCATTAATTCTTAATCATTAATGTATATTAATGAATAATTAGTTTCTCCATTTTATTACATAAATATAAATTATTATTATACTTTTGAGCCTTTAATAATTATTATAATAACTTCAAAATTAACGTTAATATTAATATTATATTAATATTAATTCAAATTTAAAATATGCAATATTAATTTTTAATATTAATTTTATATTATTTATATTAATATCAATGTCAATATATATATTATAACGATAAAGCTTTTTCAAGGATATTATATTTTACATATATAGTTGAATATTAGATAATGATTTTGAATTTTCAAGCATTGGTGTAATTAAATAACAGTTTTATTTAAATAAATAGTTTTTAAAAAATGGCGTTATTTGATTTCTATAAAAAATGTACGATTAAATGGTGTTTCCGTTGAATTTTGTCACAAAGAAAGAGTCATCGAATGAAACACGTTGATAACCGATAAGTTGAAACTAACGTGTTGTTAATTGTTATTTAAAATCGTAATAGGCTGTATATGCCTTAGGTTACGATGATTGGTTTATGCAAGTGCATAAATACGATGGAACGCCCTGGGCATGATTTTCGTGTGTGATTAGCTAATGTGCTTTAATATGCATTACTTTATTTTTACGTTTAGTTGTATTTAAGTTTTCAATATATCTCGGCTTTTTACCAATTGTGATGAGTCAAGTATTGATTAATTCTAGTAGAATTTATTTTAATAAATTAGAGGGATAAAGATTGTAGAATATTCAAACGCTAAGAAATAATGTATTTATTTATGCTTTCCCGTTGTCTGGGATCAGACTTAAGACCTCCTTTGATGTTGGGTGGAGGTGTTGCTGGCAAGTGGAAGGGGCAATGCAATTATTCAATACATGCAGTGTTTCCTTTCTTTCCTTTATTAAATATAATAATGTATTAAATAGTTATTATTCACAAAGTGTGTGAATGAAGGTGTGAGAGAATAATTAGAGGAAGTTTCTTCAATAGTGTTACGTGCTGAGGAGAGTGTATGTACTCTCCGTGATGTGGGAGGTGACTCCTTCCCTTCCGAGAAGTGCCGCTGTAGTAGTGTGCGTGTGAGCTGCCGCTGTTGTACCGCTGCTGCCTAAGTGAGACTGGGTTGCTCCTGCCTTTATGTCGGTGCGTAAGAGTTGCTGCTGTCATACGGAAGCCTTCTAAAGGCGGACTGTTTGCTACTATCTTAGGGTCGGTGTGTGAGTCAATGCCGTCGTAGCATGCGTGTGAGCTGCCGCTGTTGTACCGCTGCTGCCTAAGTGAGACTAGGTTGCTCCTGCTTTTGTGTCGGTGCGTAAGAGCTGCTGCTGTCGCACCGAAGCTTGCTAAAGGGGGACCGTTTGCAGCTATCTTAGTGTCGGTGTAATCCGTTAATATATGTAGTATGTTTCGATAATTTCACTCTTGATTAAGTTAGCACTATCGCGTTTTTTGTTTAAGTTTGATTAGTGGATTCTGAAATGTGGCTTCACTATTGTATAGTCAGATTGCTTACTGTTTGAGCAATTACGTACATGTGCATCTACAGTGAGTGATGTCTAGAAAGAAGCTTGAAGACTGAATACTGAGCTGTTGCGTTACTGCGTAATCGTTATTACGCTAAGCTAAGACAAAGACTGACGCGCGTGGCACGCGCAATCCTTAAGTATTCTCGTAGTAATCTTTAGGCGCCGGTAGCTATCCGGTGTCTGTTACTATGCCGGTATTGTCGTTACGTCAATAGACGTCAATAAGCATAGCTTTTGTGAGTTTCATTGTTATAATTAATCGAAGTTCTAGTCCTATATTCCGGTTTTCGGCGTAGAAATATTATTCGAGTTCGTTGGCTAGTGTTTATAAACAACCGTTTGTGCGCTCATATCTCTCCCATTTTGTATTCCGCTTTCAACTGTTTCAATCCGTAACACCGTAACCGTATCCGGTGTATATAATTAAAAATTATTTTTTATTAATAAACATGTAAAATTTCTATATAATTATTCAAATTGCATATTATGCATAATGAACATACCGAACTTCAATTATTCAAACGATGGCGTATTTAACAAACAAACCAATTCTTATAAAAGCCGATTCTTTATAAATATTTAATTTTACCTTATCATATAAAAATAAATAAGAATAATTGCAACTTGCTATTTTATACATCCTAAGAAATAAATAAAACAAAAATTAATTGATACATTTAAAACAAATATTAATAAATTTTATTTTACATTATTAGAAATATTATAAATTGGTAATATCTTTATAGTATAATATACATTATATTATTACTATTCTAAACAATAACATTTTTTATTTAATGAATATAAAATTAAAACTAGTGCGATGAAAGAAAATATATTCGGTAGTTCAAAATATGATTTAATTAATAAATACACATATTTAATTGGTAAATAATAAATTTATTAAAATAATCATTTTCGCGTACATTTGAGTTCTGAAGTATTGTTATTTATAACGTATAGTAATTATTCCTGGTAAAATTTCAAATAACGGTAATATTTTCAACATGTTTGTAAAAGAATATAATTATAAAATACATTCATAAAGTAACACATTCATAAATCATCTTTTACTTTGTTCACATAAACAATATATATAAGTATGTGTGAATGCTGTGTATGTGTGTGTGTTCAAATATTATATTAATTGTTTAAATTTTAATAATATTTTAAAAGATATAAATATATTCAACATACTTATAATATATGGATTAATAGTTATATTTTTGTTTACTTATGATATGATTCGAATCAAATACAAATTTTTGCATAATTTTGATTTATTTATTAATATGCATTTGACTACATACGATTAATAGCATATTCCAAATTCATTACGGATATATGAATAAAATAAATAAAGGTAATTTTTTTTAAAGTTTGCAAAGATTTTATTTTACAGAATAAATTTTTTTCGTATATAATTGATCAAAATGTAAAAAAGTAATTGAGTCCCATTTTTTAAAAAATGAAATCGATATAATTACAAAATTTTATAGAATATATTCTCTAAAATTATATAAAAATATAATGATTACTATTATATATATATAATAAAGATAATTTTTTTTATAATAATGGTATTTTATTTTATATTGTACTTTAATCATAAATTGATTTTAATATTTTATATTTTATTTAATAAATAAATGTTTAATTTTTTAATTTTTATTAATTTTTATAATTATATAATTGTTATAATTTTAACTTTATTCATTATTATATCAAATTAATTTCATTTAAATTATTAAAAATTTTAATTACATTTTTTTAATGAATTGTTAGTATATATCAATATCATCTATCTTATATTTTCAAAATATAAAATACAAATATTAAAATATTTAAATTACATATAATACACTGAGCATGTAAATATATAATGAAAATAAATAGAAATTATAATTATAATGATAATTTAATAAATTTATAACAACTTTATAAATATATACTATTTAGTATGTATGAGTTCCATAAAATCTTCATTTCTAATACTTTATATTTAATTTTACGACGTAAAAACAATAAAATTTATACAAGTATTGCTATTTTGAATTAGAAATATTGTACGAATTTGAACAATATCAACATTTAATTTTTGTTAGTAGTTTTAATTTATTATTGAGTTAAATTATTGAAATTTTATATATAATAATAAATTAAATGTGTATAGTACATTATTTCAGATTTTATTAATATTTTAAAATCAATAAACTTAATATTTAGTAATTTCTAATTATTATTTATTTATATTGTAGTTACTATATTAGTTTTATATGCTTCTTTTCATACGATTTCTAATTGTGGTGTAGTGCAATTATTCGTTGGTTTTATATGTAAGTAATGATAGTTTCTTGCTGATTAAAAGTATTTTTTTTATGTCTATTTCTTATTCTAATGTTATTAGTTTGTACTCTATTATCTTCCATAATGGCTTTAAATTTGTTTCCTATTAAAGCATCTTACTGACTTATATTATTAATTTGCTTATTATTACTCATTGGAATATCACGTTCATTAACTATTGGTTTATAAGTCTTGACTTTAGAATGACCTTCAATAATTATATACATCGGACCTTCAAATGGTTTGTCTGGTTGTTTGTAATGAGAAAATATTGAATCTGTTGTTACCCTTGAAGTAATTGTAATTTTGGTAGGAGGTAAAATTGTTGTCATTACGGCAGAAGTATATCCTTTTTTAATATGATTATTTTGAATTACCTGTGGTAAAACTGATTGAGTTTTTATTTTACGATCATACATATTTATATTTATTGGTGATGAAATTGACGATTCATATTTTATTGGAGGTAACAAGAATACTGATTTAAAATGAGAATTCTCGTAATATTTATCTATATTTTCTATCGGATTAGATTTAAATTTAATGATTGATGGAGATATAGAAATATTAAGAATATTTTTTATAAATGGATGGAATTTAAGTGATTCTTTTTGATGAAAACGAGTGATATTTTGTGGTATTTTAACATGATTTAAAGAAAAATTTATAGGATTTATACGCAAAGAAGCGTTATTCTGTATAAATGTTTGCGTAGAAATTTCTTGTTCCAGATATGGTGAAGAAATATTTTTTACTAGATAAACTGTCGTAGGATTTGTTACATTAACTTGATCAGCAGAAGTTTTAATTGAATATAAGGCTGATTTAGAATAAGGTGTACTAAAGTGATTAAAAAATAGTGATGGGAAGAAATCATTTTTTAAAGGACTAGCAATTGTGGTTGATACAGAAGTAAAATTTTCAAATAGTGGTTTAGCTTTTTGCATTGAATTTTCCTTAGTATTAATACTAGTGAATACATTGTCAGATTTATTTAAATTTTTAACAACATTGAAATTTTCTCTTTGATCATTATAATTCATTGGCATAACAATAGATATAGCATCTTTAATATATTTTTTATGATTTAGACTGTTCGTCGATGAATTGGTTACAATCACTTGCATTTTTTTAAAGTCAGATGTTGAGAAGAAAGATGTCGTGAATAGATATGTAGGAGTCGAAGAACAGTCGAAACAATTTGTTGTATCACTCGTATTAACATTTATTGAAATTATTTTAGGTTTATAAATATTATACATTTTTTGTTGACTTTTTATATGATCATTATTATTTTTATTTCTTTGAACACTAATATTACTGTTTTCTGTCACTGCATCACTCGAAGAATCATAAATTGGAGTATTTATTTCAAAAAATTCTTGATCATTATTTTCATTGTAGGATTTAATTATTTTTTTTAATGACAATAGTGTTGGTGAAGTGCTAGTATTTAATAAACTTCTTAAGGATTTTTGCGTTGATTGATAAATTAGATTTGATTTTTGAAATGTTATAGTAGTAGTTTTGTACTTTTGTTTGAAATCTTGTGTATAATTTTCTCGATCTTCAATTTCGGATAATATTATTGGCCATTTTAATTTTGAAAAAAGCTTTGACTGAAGTTTTGCATCTGAATGATCTTTTGAATAAACCTTTTCTGTAATATTATACTGTTGCATTTTATCTACCTTTGGACCTTTTCCTGTTTGAGTACTAATTTGTAATGGCAATTCAAAAAAATTAAATTTACCATTTAACGAACTATAAATATTGTTGCGAATAGAATTATTTTTCGGTTTTAAACTATTATATGGAGGTAATAGAATTCTAAATGGTCGTGATTTATAGTTGTAATATTGATTTAAAACATAATTAAATGGTTGTATTTTATTCTGATTTTGAGAAATTATGTTTGTATGAAAATTTGTTGCACCAATCATTTTTGGAAACTCGGCTCCAATACTATCTGTCAAATCATGTTTAAGTGAATTTTCTTCTTTTCGGGTAAAATTAGATTCATCTATAAATTTTATAATTTGATGAGATCTTTTAAGATCAGTTTTGTTAGCAGCTATTCCAAGAGCAAGGATATCATGTTTTGTAGAAGTTTCTATATTATAAGAATCTAACCAATATTGAACATGATCTAAAACAGGAGGAAGATAATCAAATGTAGGATCATTTTTTAATGGATCACCTAAGCCCAAAGGTGTCCATTCATCGTAATCCATTATTGGAGAAAGATTCCAAGATTCATTTTGGTTGGAGTCTATAAAAAAAGTTTATATTACATAATCAATAACATAATTGTTATTTTAATAAATATACTGCTATTAATAAGTTTATTTGAATAATAGGTGAAAGCTGAAAAACGAATGCATTTATGTTGTACATAATTCCCGTGGGATAGTTGTTTACCCACTTAAATAAAATAATATAAATTTAAATGAATAAACTTGAATATTGTAAAAATAGATTTATTTACATTTATTTATATAAGATTTATATATATATTATATATAAGCTAAGTATTTATAAAAATAATATAATATGTAAATAAAATATATTTTTAATGAATTTTAGTTTTCGAAATTATATTAGTATCAAGTTTTATAACAATCATAATTTTAAATATTTTCTTAATATGCTATAAAAACAAAATATTTATTTAATGTGTACATAAGCTTGCAAAGTATAAGCGATCTATATTTAGTCGGGAAAATAATTTCAAGACTAAAATTATTTTGATATCACATCTATCTATTGCTTATAAAGTAAAGTGATATTATAATTCATTGATTAAAGCTATTATTTACAAAATTAATTAAAAACTTTATTTATATATAATTATCAATATATATTAAAATTAATTTATACTTATATATATATATAATTAAATAACATAGATAATGTATTTATGAAATATAAGTAATAAAAGTTAGATAAGATTAAAAAGTAATATAATATACTTTTATAATTAATTCATATTCGTATCATAATTAATTTAATATAAATAGTACACCCTTTGCAAAAACTGGAGAAGTTTGTAAATTTAAGATAGAAGTTTCGATTATACTCGTAAAAATCAATATGAAAATTATAAGCAATAAATTAATATTATTCCAGTTAGTTTAAATTTTGGATTAAAGTATTTGAATTCATAATCATATAATTCTTATCAAATATTCATTACTCTATATACACACTACTAATTTTTCATTTGTATTGATATATATATATATATATATATATATATATATATATATATATATATAAGGACAATATAACCAGATAATAATTAAGAAAGTTGTACAAGCAATGAAAATTAAATAAGAGCTTTTGATTATTCAACTGAATCATCGATCATAAATAATTACTAAATGAACAGTTATCTCAACAGTAGGAATTATTCGGTACAAAATGAATGATTATTTATTATCATAGTTGAAGTTATAATTATTCATAATATTACACTAACATGGTTGTTCGATATTGGAGCATTTTATTCGAGGTCTTCGGTTCTTGGAATGTTTACATTTTCTCACATTGATTTACCAATTATCCAAAAGAAGAATTCTCGAAGGTTCTACAAGGCTGCTTAGCCATCGCGTTGCAACGTCGATTGAATTTTCGAATCTTCCAAGGTTGCTTTCGCCGAATTCTAGAGTAGTCGAAAGCTCGTTTCGAACTAGAGCTAGTTGCCGCGCGGATACTTAAGAAAGCGGGCGACAAGACTCCACGTAGTTAACATAAAGCAGTCATTCAGTACGTAGTGTCGGTAGTCATAAAGTGCACAGTATCAGTTATTCCTCACAATCAGTCACTCGTCCTAGTCACTTACACACAAGCCACGCTATTGCACGGAGTCTACACCAAGGAGAAGGTCGCACAACACACGCTCATTCAACGCAGCTATTGCAAGGAATGCTCGTTCACTTCTCCAGTGTACCAAGACAACAATCCGTCAAGGGATGCCATCAAGGGATTTTCATATATTTTAAATAAAAATAGTAATTGATTTTACATCTTGAAAATAATAAGTCAAAATAATAATAAGAACAATAAGAGATTGAAAAAAGAAACAGAGGAGAAAGAAGTGTAGGAAAAAAAATAAAAGAAGATGATGAAAAATACAAATAATATGAATAAACAATACTCTAATAGATTGGAGTGTATACACATAAAATTTAATTAAAAGTAAATATGTTAATTCTTGAAATTCATGTAATTCCATAATCGAAATATCTGTTATAAATAAATTTTTTTATCTTTTTTATTAGCTTTAACATCGCAATTATTTCTTTTTAATTATTAATATTATTATTGATTATGGTTTCTATTTAAATAGTATTTATTTCATTAAAGAAAAAATATCAATTTTTAACGTATCTTATAGTCTAGCGAATGTGTGATACACAATTCATATAGAATTTAAAAGAAAAATTATTCATTTAATAGTTTATATATTTTTCAAAATAATTAATTCTTTCAATTTCTTGACAATATAAATTTCAATTTAAATTTCAATTTTTTTCGATAATAAAAAATTGATAAAAGTAATATCGTCAAAATAACTAATTATAACATATAAACAATAAAAATCACAATATAGTTAAACTGAATTTATTGAAAAATAATATATTGAATAATTTAACAAATTACTAGTATAATAATATTCATCGATATAATAGTTTGATGAAAATATTACATGGCCTCAAATTATTAATTTCGAATTGAAAACTTGAAATGACACTTTATTTACTACATTTATTCCAAATTTATACTAATATTTTATACTTAAATTAATTAACTTTTAATATTGTTAAATATTAAATCGATGGAAATATTAAAATTTATAATAGCAAGATAAGCTATGAAAATAATTTTCTTCTTTTTCAATATAAAATTGATAGATCAAAAACATAAAAAATATTTTTATATAATATTTTATTTCATTAAATATGTTTTTTTGAAACCCCCTGCGAATAAAATAATATTTATTAAAATATACTATTACATAATTTCACTATTAAGATTTCTAAATTTATATATATATAGATATTTATTTATTTATATTTATATATTTTTCATATTTATATTTTATATATACTATTTTAGTATATTAGAGTCCACATATTAGTGATATAATTTATTAAGTTCATATGTATATTCTATCACAATATTTTTGTTTTGAGTGCAATTATAAACTACTCCGATGATTTGTATCTTTTGCTAGTTTAAATGATATATTCGGAAATATTAAACTATAAATTGATATAATTCATATTTAACAATTTTTTATAATATGCATTTATAAAATTATGCTGTTTTACAAACATACATTTATTTTTTCAAAAATCTAAAAATTAAAATGCATAAAATATATTTAAAATTTAAAAATGAATATGAACTTTATTTACGCTAATGGGTTGGTAACTTATAAAGAATAGTTGACAAATTCGAAAGAAAAATCTTAAATACACAATTGTAGGAAATATATATATGAAATACTTAAGCATGTTATATATGACTTTATTCACATACAAATTTTATTTACTTTTAACGGAAACTTACAGGTTTTGCTTTGTATAATAAAACTTTGAGATATGCAGGTGTAGTAAAAAAGAAGCTCAATCATCAATAAACATTGTAATAAACTAAATTTACCATTTAACATTGTCTGAAATAAAAAAGAAATATAAATTGTTATTTTTTAAATAGAAAAATATAATAATAGAAGTAAAATAGAAGTAAAGTTGTGATTATTCTTTAATATTCAATATTATATAATGTATTATTACAATGTAATAATATAATATAGAATCAATTTGCATTATTTAAATTTTGTAAATTTATTACACCACACGTAACATATTTTTATGTACTAAGGTTCGCATGAAGTATTATAGAAAATAGAATATTTTAATTATAAGAAAAAGATTGATATACCGAAATTGTGAATAATATCTAATAAAATAGTTTTTATTACAAAGATTTATTTTTATGAGAATACTTAAATTATAATTATATATAGCAGATGAAAAAGTTCATTATTGATATCGGGCATTAAGCAATTGAATTCCATATATGCCTAAGGTTCTGTTTTAAAAAAATAATTCATTTTATTTCTACATTATTATAAATTTATAAATTATACATATAACAATTACAAAATAAATATCTCACATATATATACGAACTATTTTTCTTTTAATTATGAAAATACAATGAAATATGTTTATGTCAAATTTGTATAAATGAATACAAATTATATATAATTACTTTGCCATTATATTCAAATTATAAATAAATATATTTTTAGATTTTGTTTACAAAATATTATTAAAGTAATACAATAATTCTATTAAAAGTGATTCTCTTACATTAAATAGCATATTAATAAATTTTTAATTCATAAGTAAACTGTATCAGCTGAGACAATTGTTAAATATTTACTGTAATATTAAAAAATTTTAGAATAAAAATAAATATCTAGAATTTAAGGTTACGCGTAATAATAGCAATATATTTCTAAAGTGTGTCGTTCTAGTTAAATGTTTTATACTAAATAAAAACAAAATTTGCTAACGATGCGATCTCTTCCTATTGTTACATTTATGGTATTTATATATACCAAGTCATAAAAGATAAATACAAATAACTATAACTTTATAAATAAATTCGAAATAAATAGTAGACAAAATACATAAATATTGTATATCTCTTGATTACCTAATACAAAATATAAGAAATCTATTTACTTTTGCTGCGTTTAATTTAGTGATGTAAATATAAATAAGCAAGTCAAAGTGCTACATGCTTATTTAGAACAATGTTTTATGTTTTTTACATTTTCCATTATATTGCCAATTTGAAGTCCTAATTGATATTGAAAGATAAAATATTGAGGAATGTAATATCTAATTTTATTTTATGAAAACTAAAGATTTATTTAGTATAAAGTATTGTTTAGTTGAGAAGAATGATAAATTTATAAAAAATATATTAATATATTTAACAGTGATAAATAGTACAAACATTCTATAAATTAGATATAATCATAAGTTAACTGTCTAAATACTCGTTTAAACATGCATACTTTAACGATATGGACACTTTATGCTACTATAAAGACGGAAGAGTGGAGAATATGAGCTTATTTAAACATTAGTACTTTTTAAAATTGTAAAATGAATAGTAATTTTAATTTTATTAATCCTTTTATATAAAATAAAACAGTAATCGCTACACAATTTGTCCTCTTATAGAGCGCTTTTCGGCCTTTTTTCGACTGCAGATAGCGGTGCAAATAACGTTGATATTGAAATAATATATTTTTGCATCGCTAATTCCAATAAATTTCATTTGTTCTATTTTATATGCAATTAAAATTTTATTATAAATTTTTTTATATTTGTTCGTATAATAAAGACGTAAAATTGAAATTGTATAGCATTTAATAAAAAAAATCTTGTGTTATAAAACTAAACAATAATATTTAATTTATTAATACTCTAGTTTATTTTTATTATATATATTTATATATTTTTATAATATTTCGAAGTGAAGAAAATAAAAACAATAGTCTCTTCGCAATTTGGTCTTATATGTAAGCTATAAATATTTGTTTCTTCCATTTTTAGTCTCCATAAACTTAAAGTATATCATATTTAATTTCTTCAGATCTTAGTAATAAATAAGTTTTAAAAAATTTTAATTAAAAAATTTGTAATGAACTAAAATGTAAAATAAAGAGTTTCTCATTATTTTTGTCACTATTATTTCTTAACATGAAAATTAATAATAATTGTCAATATTAAAATTCGCATATTGCATTGTATTATTGAATCATAATAAACAAACAGTTAACTAAAAACTATGATATTATTAATAATATGATAATTTAATAATTTATCAATTATATTTATAGTGAATATATGTAGTAATTTTTATAATAAAACATTTCATATTTTTTTATGTAAGGGAGAAAATTCAAATCTGCAAAGAAATTAGTGTGAAATCTACTCTTACGGTATCTGGATATCTAATTTTTAAAAACTTGTATGTATAATTAATTGTTTAGCATTTGATGACTCTAAACTGTAAAACACTGCTGTAAAGTGAAGTTTTTTTGTTATATAAAAGGCTAATATTAAAAATAAATATTTAATCAGTAAAAGATTGAGCATAGATACATATATATTTGAAATTATATTGACATTGCAATATATTTTTAATGCATAAAAACTTGTTTTCACATTTTAAAAGAAAACAATTGTTTAGAATTTCAATCATCCAGTGGTCGAAGGGTGAGGATGATTGGATTAAACTATGACCACCAGTTGCCTGGTGGGGGAAAGAAGTGCGGGCAAATGGAAGGGATAGGACATTTATTCAATAATTACATAAACTTGCTTATCATACTGTTTATTGTATTTATTTTACAAACTACATAATATAATGATTGCAAGATGGTGTTGAGAATCGGCGAGATCTTGCAGTTCGGTGGTAGTTGCCACGTGGCGTTAGCATGCACTACAATACATATGGAGATAGGAGGTCGTAAATTTGCGGATCCTCTTGACGTAGTATGTTTGGTGGTAAATTATTACATTGAAAAGTAAGAGGTCGTAAATCTATGGTACTTCTTCGTGTAATGCCACGTGACGGTAATGTATTGAGTTCTTCTCACTGGAGAGATTGTGTTGGCTGCACATGGTGTCTTATTGCCTGTGTGCTATTTGCGCATTAGTAAGAGGGCCTTGTTAGCCTTGTATTAGTATTCACAGATATGCGGTTGCCTTGCCGGATCCTGTGAATGAGTGCCTCAAGAATATGCTTCTTGTAGTCGTGTCCGTTCTTGTAATGCAGTCAGCTCTCTTGACTGCTTTAAATTATTGTGCACTTGAGAATTGAACGTGTAATGAATATAATGGCTTCACTGTATCGGCGTAACTGAATAACTAGTTTATAGCTGTAAAGTCTGACTGAATGATATAAGTACAATGAGTATAACTGAGTAACTGGTGTATGGCAGAAAGTACTGACTGAATAGCATAATTGAATAGCTTAAAAACTGATAACTGATTGACTGAATAATTTACAATGAGCCTACAAGCCTGTTCAATACGCGCACGAAACTGAAGGCGTGTTTGTTCCATAGCGGCTCTGCTGAGAGATACTGACTCTTTCATGGCGGTCATGCCAAGACAGACCGTGATCCGTGCCATGGCGTCTTCACTGAGAGAGATTCACTCAGAGAGCGAGGCTCGTCGCGTACTTGATTTAAATATCCATATAGGCAGCTTACTTAGCTGGCAGCAATGCATAGGTGTTGCTATGCCGAAAATCTTGCATGACGTCAGAAACTAAAGCTCTAGAACTTTCGAGAATTCCAGAAAGAGAAAAGCTTTAGAAGGTTCGAGAATTTCCAATCGACGTTGCTATGCGGAAATATTTTAGGACACTCCAAATGTTATGCCTCCATATGCTCCAATTCCGAACACTGTCTTTATTATAAATTTCATTTAATTTAATTTTTGGTATTAATGATATTACATTAATGAAACACGATAAAATAATAAAATTGCACTCCTTCCAAGCATTCATTTTAAATAATCTGAATATTCACAAACATAGAAACAAAAAAGGCTTATGTATGTAGGATGGCTTCAAACTATTACGTTTGAGGTGTGCTGATAATTCAGAAAAATATAGAGAAAATACTATACAGCAAATATTCAAATACTACCCTGTTGCATTGGGATGCAGAGTAATTACACATTGTACGAAAAGACAAAATATTAGTTTCATTGACTGTTTGATACGTATATGACAAACAAAATAATGTTTTTAATCTACAGTAAATAAAATATATGCTAGACATCTGTTTAATCATAAAATTATAATATCTAATAAAAATTTTAATTAAATTGTTTAAACAATTCGCATTGTTGAAATGAATTACTTACTGTTCTATTATCTCAATATTTTGTCTTATTTATGTTATATTTTCAGGAATTTTATTATACAAAGAACTCTTTAAAATAAAATAATTACCTATGATAATTTTCTATTTTTATTTCAATTAAGTAATAAACTTCGGCTATAAAATTGATTGAGGGAAATATATATTTTCGAAAAATTCAAATATATTATCGAGATCAACAGAAACTTAGCTAAATTTTACTGTTGATATTTCTATATATATGTAATAAATAATATCAATCTTCGTGATTAAATTTTATATTTTGGAATTAAATTTATATATAAAATTAAATCATTTATACAGTTCGATAATAATTATCAATACATAATTATATGATAAAGCATTCACAATGATTGTAATGTCAAATCAGAAATGGTTTTATTTTTAATTATTTATGCTCAAATCATTATGTGAGATGTAAAATAATCTGATCAGTAACATTTTTCATATTATAAAATTTTATCTTGTTTACTTATTTGAAAATATCTAAATTATGGTTGAATAAAAATATATTTGATTTACAATTGTTTACAAAAAAAGAACAAAAACTATATACACATAGTAAGTTTGATCTTTTGGTCCCAGTTTATAATAATTAAAATAAAAGTGATAATTATATTAGATTTTATAATTACAATGTTAAAGTTTATAAGTATTTCAAACTATTAGATTTACTGCTAACTAGACTA